ATGCAATATATAACATGAAATCCATACAAATAATTAATGTTTTGATCACGTTAAGAATGGTTTTGATGATTGTTTTATTCTTTGCGTAATTGCATAAAATATATCTCTAGAAATATAGAGCAAAAAATATTAATGATGGTACTGAAGATGAAAAAGGTGAGCACTGAAATGAGCCTCTCCCTCGACTCTTGTAATAATGAATTTCAGCGTTACTTTACTTTCTCCCTTTCTCTCATTCATCCGACTGAATAATATGTGGTGAAGATTTTTGTTTAACTCATATATATATATATATATATATATATATATCACGAATCTCGAGGCAACCTTTTGAGCAAGAAACATCCAAACTTTAATTAAGAGACATCCAGAGCTCTGATTTCAATAAACTTATAGTCAAATTGACCGGCTCGATGAAACAAACCCAATGATATAAAGACTAGTCTAATCCGAGTGAGACCAAGCTCATATTAAATCATTAAACCACTTTTGGAAGATTTCTGGAGGTATTTGAAAGGTCAAACAAATGTCAAATATAGCGAGTTCATAGTCGAATAGAGCATCTCTACAAGACAAATCTAACGAGCCAAAGATTGCTCAATTCTGACATATTTAAGGCACTTAGATATCCATCAAAAATCATCTAATCGAGGGAAGTTATCCGGACTGTTTGATTAAAATAGTTCATATTACTGCACTAATTGCACCCAGAACACTGTAAATAAAGTCTCACCCTTCACATGAGGATGGAGGCTTGAGAGAGAACTTGAGGCTTTGAAAAGGAGTTCATTCAAGTCCAATACAATCCCTGTTACCGCCGACCTCGATCGACCACTGTCGGCCACCGCCGACCTCCGTTGACCACCACCGACCTCCGTCGACGACCATCGTTGTCCGTCGGGGACCACCGCCAACCTCTGTCGATCACCGATGACCTCCTTCGATCATTGTCGACAACTACCACCGACCTCTGTCGACCACCGTCGGCCACCATCGATCATCGCTGACCTTCGTCGACCGCATCGACTGCAATCGACCACCGCTGACCTCCGTCAACAATCACCGACTTTCATCAATTGTCGTTGACTACCGCCGATCACCGCTGGTCTCCATCAGCCACCGCTGACTAGACGTCGTCAGTCGACTTTATAACTTGGAAAGCTAGTAACTTTTTCCCGTTTGTGGGACAAGGGATCTCTGTAATAATCAATTAATAATGGATTTTCGCAATTGGGCCAGACCCCGTGATTTTTTCACTTTCTGGGTTTTCCACGTAAAAGTTTTTGGAGTCATCACTGCTTGTTTCTCTTTCATATGTGTGTGTGTTGAATTCTCGTATAATGCTAAGATGATAATTCGTTACTCTACCGCCACGGATTTCCCTGCATGCATCAATATATGTATGT